CTTCCCCCCACCCCCCCAACCCATCTCTCTTTCCTCTCTGTCTTTCTTCCTTCTTCGAACGGCAAAGAACGATACGCGCGGAGTCCTTTTCTATTTCGAATGGAATTAGATATAATAGCCGCAGCACTGGATCGCTTATTGTATTCGTGTTAAGTCAGTCCTGAGAACTGGTCGACATCTTGGATCTATTCGAAGAACTGCGTATGTATATGATGTTCCGTTAATTGCAATCTCGGAAGAAACGAGACGTACTGTTAATAGCTAATTTTTGCGAGAAAGCCGAGGACATTGTTCTTACCCGAAATAAAATACGATATCATATATAGTATAAAGTTAGTATAAAAATTTTCGGATGTAGATTATGCTTGTCCCCGCATCTCCCTACGATATTCGCAACGTCCAAACTTCACGGCCATTTACTTTGCACTCGGATGCACTTTAACTATATTACCCATTCGATAAAACTCATAGGAGGGAAGCTTCTCTCTTTTTCAACCGTGAAATTACGTTTAATAAATTAAATAAAAAAATTTAATAGATACATTAACAGAATATATTTTCCGAATACCTTTTTTTTTTTTTTTTTTTACACACGTCGCGTCTTTTTTTTCGACTTTTTACATATCTTTCTTGCTCATGAAAATACCGGGTATTTAAAAAATTTCTATTATATCTTTGCAATAAACTCAGGATTGCGGGAGTGAAAGTAAGTGAAGAAATTTCTATATAAATTGCATTAATATGCAAAAACGAACTACTAATTGTGTGCGATTAATTTTCTCGGATTTTATGACGATGTTAAAATGACAAAAAACCGCGGAATAAAAATGATCGTTGTCATTGTTACGCGTATGTTTTTTAGAAGCGCTGAATAGTGACACAATTTCTCTTGCTCAATGACGTATAATTTGCGTTTGGCTAAAATGTATTATTAGCATTACCGTTTATACGTTCGTGTAACATTTCGCGATCACAATTCGACGCGAAACTTTACTATTATATGCATACTAGTTTAAGAATAAGACCACCCTGATTGGCAGTGACGGATACGTCGGCTAGTCATTCTAATGGTTGCAAGCCGATCTACGACGATCTGACGCGAAAGATAACTTCACGTACACATGTGTACGTATATTGTATATGAAATAGGATAGGTGTGTCAATACGAGCGGTAATTACTTCGATTGCCAAGTTAAATAATTATTGCCGGGATAGGGGACGGCTATGTTGATTAATCAGTGACTCACCGTTCTGCGATCAGCACGACCTTCATTCTGCGAACATCGCTGACGTCACATCCTTCGCACGAGTCTAAAACGCAAAAAAAATTTGCATTAAACGACGACGTCGAATTCGAAAGTAGACGGAGACTGAATAAATTTGCACGCGCGAGACGTCTCGCACGCGCGCCAGATCTTTTATCTAAAAATTTAATCATGCAAGAAACGGAAAATAAATATAACGCGCGCGCGTTCTATGAGCACGCGAGGATCTTATAAAAAGGCAAAAGAGAGAATGAGTAAAGCTTTTTCGTCTCTCGATGCGGACGCTTATTTATGATCATCCGTTAAAATATGTGCCTTCGTTTCTCGGTTAAAAACGTATTTACAAGTTTCTTATGTATACGTATCTACTCTCATTTAAAGTATACATGTATGCGACTTTTCATTTAACATGACCTAAATCTCGATCAAACACATCTTTCATCTCCTAAAATATAAAAATTCCTCATAGCAGTTTATTAGAGAATAAAATCAGCAGAAATTGGAACCGATGCAATTTCGAAAAATTTCATTTCGAGATATAGATAGGAAAAAATATATCTTGTAAAAACGTTATCTTGTCACGAATTATCGAGTATTTCCACGTCGAAATTTAAGTTGACTAAAATTACGCTCTCTGGCTTCAATTAATATTTCTAAGAAAATTAATATCGAAAAACATGATATATGTTAAAACTCTTCTTGTGAACTTAAACCACTTTTCTCCCAACGACTCGATCCGAACGCGAACGAGACCGCCTCGATCATGCTTGCGTTCGCGTTCTTGCCGAGAGCCAGCGCAGCTAATTACCTTGTACCGCCGATAAAAACGATATTAATTTTCCGCGATTTATCGGTCGACGAGTAACTTCTCTCGACGCGCCCGGTACGTGGTCATATAATCGTCGTCGCAAAAGTCGGAGATGAAAAATCCAGACTCAGGCGCCGACGTAACCGTATGCGATTTAGCCGGCGGTCGTTCGAGATGAGCGCATTCTATAATTAGTGTATTGGTGCGCGCGAGGGAATTTTTATTTTTATTTAAACTTGAACGTCCTTGCCGACGAACAGCGTCGTCGTCGCCGTCGTCTCCTCTCCTCTCCTACGCTATGAGCGCCTTGACGCTCGATTCGGCCGGTTCGACAATAATTATTAACGTCTCGCGGACTCTTATTCTTGTTTTTTCGCCTAGTGTCATCCTTGTTGTCCCATTGGAATGAGATCGTCGCATCCGCGGACACTAATTCTTCGGCACGATGTCGGACAGTTAAAAAAGAGCGAGGATTATAAATAAATTTATGATCTGGCGCCGCGAGCGGTACAGGCGTTACGCGCTTGACACCTGGCGTCCCTCTTCTATTTGAATTTCTCGATTTAGACCGAAGAAAAGGATCGTAAAATATGTTAATGAGATGATGATCAACTGGTGACGAATCGGAGGTCCGTAAAAAGATTTATTTTTAGAAGTAACATTGAAAGAAATGAAGGTGTCATTAAAAAATGACAGTAGCGATTGTGTGTATGCCAATTTCTTTACTGACTATTCTAAGCAGTAGTAACATATTAATAAAATCGTAATATGCAAAGGGAAGCTTCATTTAAGCGGAATTTAAAAATTCGCAGATTATAAAAATATTGATACTCTCATGCGATCAGCAGCCCTATTCTGTAACTTTTAACGATAAATTCGCTATCGTTACGCGTCGTTGCGCAGCTATTTTTCGATATAACGACATCGTTGTTACAAAGTTAGAGAATAGGCCTACTAAACAGATCCAGACGGATCAAAGAAAACATCAATCATAAAAAAATGCGATATAAATCCGTATTATTATACATATGTAACTATTTGTTATTATAAGTCAAAGATAATTTCATTCAAAATAAATTTTATATCATAAGGCTTCTTTACTGAATTGTGAATTTGCACAAACTTAAATTGTCAGAGAATAAATTTTTTTCTCTACATCATAGTTCAGCGAGCAAAGAAAACGAAAGGAAAAAGGCGAACGAAAGGCGAAGAAAGAATAGTAGACAATAACCTGGACGCAGTGTATTACTGAGTCTGCTTAAGTTAATTGGAAGTAAAATGAGAGAAAGGTTCGAGGAATCACAGATTCTTCTTGCGCCACATTCTTCGTTCTTTCCTTTACCATTCTATGTTTCAGATCCCCCTTTTCTCTCCTCTTCGCCTTCCCGGCGTTCTCTCACTTATTTGCGCTTCTCTGTGTTTGTTTAATCAGACACGAGGCTCAGTCTTCATTACCCGCACTAATTTATCTGGGTTGTCGTCTGGCTCCTTCTGGTCTCCGTGTCTGGACATTTTCGACCCTTGTACGATACATACGCGAAAGACAACCGTAATGTAGCGAGGAATCCGCCCCGCTTTAATTTACGCAAGTAAATGCAAGTACGCCCCCATAGTCTTCTTTTAACACAATTGCACACGCAATTTATCTTTTCTAAAAGATAATAGAAGAAAAGATATATATATATAATAATCTATTATAAATCCATAGTTTTAGAAAAATGTTTATATTGCTTTTAATGACTTCAAAATAAATAATATGAAGAAATAATCTCTTATTTTTCATAAAATTCTGCTATTATTTTTTAAAATATCGCACTTTTTTGTTATATAAATTATTATATAAGATTTTTACAAAATTATTCTCTCAAAAATATTATATACAATATAAATATTGATAAATATTTCTATAATATATACCTTACAAAAATATAATTAAGATTTAAAAATTGTTCATGTAATTATGAGAAAATAACATTAAATGGAGATTCGTATTTGACGTAAGATATTGGTATGAAGAGAAGACAAGGTTCACGAAATTAACTTGATAACCCAAGAATTGACGAACGAAGATCCGCGTCTCCACGTGAGGGACAAAAGACATTCGAAGGGAGCAGTGTCGAATTGGGGACTCTTGGATATCGACGGCAATATTCGTTAAGTCCTGCTAAGACCCTGTATGCGGTGTAGTCCGTTCATTCGGATTGCCAAGTCTCTATCTCTTTCCCCGTTCTCTCCTCTCTGCCGGTCCTTCTTATCCGTTGAACGAAGACCTCATGGAGGTGGCAATCGTTTCTTTCTCCATTGTCTTTCTCACCCTTGCGAATGAGCCAATGCCTCCTTGGCTCCTTTGCGGAGGATCAGCACGTCAATAGAGTATTTGTTTAATTTGCGGATTCGTCAGTTTGTGCCTCCGAAACTACGCAAAAGAGAACTGTTCGTTCAGTGCAGCTCAACCTCTACTTGAAGAGAGAGAAGTATTTCATATTCCGCTATATTCCTCAATTCTTTCTCCCGGTACGAAGCAAGTGTATAAGTATGATACGAATCTGAAATTATCACATCGCGCGATATTCGCAACTATTTTAAAATAAAGACATTATTATTTAAGAAACTGTTATTTATAACTTTTTTTGTTATTTGTCATTCGAAGCAAGTTATATATTTAGAATAATTTTATGTCCAAGCAGCATGACATGTAATTCCGCAAAAACTCACAGTGCGCTCTATGTATAAGAATGAGGCAATAAAACTAATGTCATAAGGTGTGCGGCATTATGAAGTATAAGTCAAGGCGATTATGAGCAGACGGTTAACGTAATTTCTGTCGATTTCCATGCACATAAATAAAGCATACAAGATCAGACTTCGAAACGACGGAAATTCTTCGATTAGATGAAGGATTACGTAAGAAGTGATAGCGTCTACATCTTGCTAGCGAGATTTGAGAACCCTTGCGAATTTTTCTCATTAAGCTCCCACTTATAAAATGCACAGGAAGATATTTGAAGAATCTAGAACAAACGCTGGCGTTCCTCAAAATTTCATTGCACAATGTCGAGTAAAACACTTCGAATAAATTTTGGTCAATGTCTAAATGGCTCTAAAAATATACAATGTTTAAAAATATTTTTTTATTCAATAGTCTAATTAACAGTCTATTCTTTTATAATTTTTGTTAAATAATTTACTGTAAAGATTATTGTAAGGATCTTGAAAAATTTTTGAGAAACGATCTATGTGTGTATTTAACATATATTAAAAATTCACATAAATAGTAATCGACGCGGTAAATCGTAATAATAAAATTTAAATTTACAATTACGATTACATTTGATGATAAAAAAATAAACTTTGTAAAGGAATAATTTATATATCTTTTATCAGGGGCAATAGAGAAACGGGAAATGGGGGGAATATAGAGACCCTAGCTTCACACAAGATCGCATCGCGTTATTTAAATTCATCATCCATCTATCCTACTGCCGTTGGGATTCGTTGGATTAATTCTCAGCCCGTCCAGATCTCTCTTTCTCATTGAGTTCGGGGTAATGGGGGTCGTTATTGCAGCGCAATGTAACGGCCGTGAAGGGTCATTGTTCAACCGTTTTTGGGGTTCGTGCAATGACCAGTTCCGCCGCGCATGAGAACGGACTGAAACAAAAGCTGACAAACCTGTTGGAAACAATCAGGCGCGGCTCACCCCAGCTCGGGCCAGCTTATGGTTCACGGAGGGGGATGAACAGTTGGGTGACTTTTTTTGGTCTAAGAGGAACACCTATTGTGTAATACTGGCAACATGTGTGCCTTCGTGTCGTCACGATGAGATCGACTGATCATCGCAGCGTCGTGATTTAGGAACACTCGCGTTCATTATTAAAGAAAATCGTTCAAATTAACAAGATGTAAACGTCTAGAAACGGCAAATGTCAGTCGATAAAAAACAATAGTATTTATATGTTAACGTTATAATAAAAAAAAAAAATGCGAAAAAAATTACAGATATTTTATTTTCCGTTTAATTATCTCGTTGCAATATCTATTATTTAAAAATGACGTTATTGATCAAATTTGGTATCTTAAATCCAATAATAAAACTTGCAATTTTTAAGTTACTTAATCTTAAAATCAAAGTTAACTTTTTGGAAATTGCCACCTGTCATTTTCAAAAAAGCTACTTAATCAATAGTGTCTTCCTGCTGGATCAGCAGCGTGGAAATCGATCGGGAGAAAGTGACGAA